ACGTTTCTTATTCTTGTTCACTTGAAGAATGCTAGTTAGTTGGGACTACAGTGCCTCAGGTGCTCTGAAGCATTGTGGGATATTTAAAATGGCAGTTCATAGCCAACCAGGGCAGGTGTCATCATCACCAGGGAACCAGTGGGTTCCATCCCCCTCACTCAAAATAAGCATCCTATTTAGACTGTCCCAAGTGTGTGTCCTTATTGGTCATGAGGATACTTATTAAATAAATGCCTTGTTTGCTCGTTCAATGCTTTAACACTATAAATATAGCTCGCAAAGCAGTTTTCTGTGAGTATGAATAAGAAGGAAGTGTCACAACTCTGTGTGGCTCTCCAGCAACTGTGTTTTCCAGCTGCAAAGTGTTATTTTTGGCCTTCCCTTCTCATTTTGATGAACATCTTGCATTTTTTTGTTGTTGAATGCCTTGTGTAGACTTCTCTGCTCTTGCATTAATCAATGGCAGCAAATGCACCAGAGTCAATCTGTGGTGAGCCAGAAGGCAACAGTTAAGTTTAGCTTGGTCTGATGGATTGTGGCACATTTTTGTTATCTCATCTTCCCCTTTTATTATTTCTGAGAAATTTCTTCCTTCTCCTTTTCTACGCTTCTGCTGAATTTCGTCCAGCAGAGACCTACAAGCAGTATTTCCTTCCGCCATCTCTCTCTCTCTCTCTCTCTCTCTCTCTCTCTCTCTCTCTCACACACACACACACACACACATTATTATGTCTGCCCCTACACCACACTGGCTTGAGAGCCAGTGTGGTGTAGTGGTTAAGAGCGGTGGACTCGTAATCTGGTGAACCGGGTTCGCATTTCCGCTCCTCCACATGCAGCTGCTGGGTGACGTTGGGCCAGTCACACTTCTCTGAAGTCTCTCAGCCTCACTCACCTCAGAGTGTTTGTTGTGGGGGAGGAAGGGAAAGGAGAATGTTAGCCGCTTTGAGACTCCTTAGGGTAGTGATAAAGCGGGATATCAAATCCAAGCTCTTCTTCTCTTCTTCTTCCTTACGCGAGTCAGATCATTGGTCCATCTAGCTAAGTATTGACTGACAGCAGCTCTTCATCAGGCAGGAGATATCTTCCGCTCCTACCTGAAGATGCCAGGAGTTGAACCTGGCATCTCCTGCCTGCAGTCACACTGGATTCCACCCAACACTGTGGGTGCCCGGCGCATGTGTGTGATGTCACATATCGCCGCCACAGTGGGAGGGTCTGAGGGAGTACCCCTGCCTCAGCAGAAGGGTCGGACGGAGTGTCCTGACGCAGTGCATTATGCATTGGGTTGCCCAACCGGGCACCCACAGTAAAAAAAATTGTGGGTGGCCTGACACCCACGGTCCCCCAGAGATGGCGATTAGGTCTGTATGCAAAGCAGATGCTCTACACTTTGCTGTGGCTGTTTCCCAAGGAGAGGAGGAGTCCCCAGCATGTCATCTTGAACTGCGGCAAGATTGTACCCTGGACTGGTGCCAGAAAACAAGGCACTGTCCTTGGTACGTAGGTGTGGCGATCACACAGGGCCCCCGGATGTTTGATGGTCTATTGACCCTGTGCCACCACTGCGATTGCTTTTTCCTGCTGCCACCACCCCGTATCTCACGGGGACACATGGAGTCCAGTCAGTTGTTAACATTAACAAATAATCAAGTTTATTTTTAAATGCAGGAACAAGCTTATGGTTTCAGTTAGTTTTTCTTGACAGTTTCTTAATCTTAGTTCCTAACAACTTCAAACTGATTATTCCCAACTATCTATCTGACTCCACCTAACAATTCCTCTCACTCTCTCACAATACAACTCTACCAACCCACTGCCTATTCCTCCCTCTTCCTTCTTCAACTCCCAAACCTCAACTCTCAACTCCCAAACCTCAACTGACTTTCAAAACTTCCCGCTCTAACTTTTACTCCCCCCTTGCATTCTCACTGACCAATCACATCACACCCATTTTAACCCTTTCCTTATGACCCATCCTAGGAGGCAAACGCCACAGTAGGGACAGTTGGAAGGTGTTGGCTCTGTTCTACCCCACTGTCAGAGTCCGTGCACCTCTGAATAATTGCTAGGAACTGCAAGTGGAGAAAATGCTCTTGCGTTCAGGTTTGGTTTGCGGACTTCCAGTACCGGCATCTGCTTGGCCCTGTGAGAACCAGATGGGCCTTTTGACTGATCCAGCATCGCCCGCCTTGCATTCTTATACGTGAGAAATCAAGAACTGAAATTATTTTGAGAAATGAACTTGCAAGGTGAACCGCCGTGGAGAAGTTTCATGATTAGAGCAAATGGAGAATTGTATTGTGTGGCCAGTTCACCCAACTTCTCCTGTTGGGAAATGCAGGTGCATCTCCTCCTCTATGCTGCCGTTGGAACCGCGCAGCTAATATTATTTCCTATGCAGCCATTGGTACAAAATCTGCATTTGAATTTAGGAAGCATGAGTGTCCAAGGGGTGTAAATTGCATGTCAGGAGCCCAGAAGAAAACGGATATAGCAGGAGAAATGGTTAACAGGGAGGATAGAAGTACGTGGCCAGTGTTAATTATTCCTGCAGCTGCTTTGAAATCCAGCCATTTTAAATGTGCCTAAATATAGAGTTAAAAGCCTAAATGCATACTCCTGCTTGTGGGCTGAAAACAGCATAATAGCATGGTACTCCTGGGGAATTTCGTTCCCTTATAATAATAATAAAAAAATGCTTCTTTATTATATGATGATGATCATGCTGATTCTGTTCTGCCGACTGAGCAAAAATATATTCAGGTACCTTGTTAACCCCTGAGACCGGCAAACCAAGGTTGGATTTGAAACAACCAGCCAAGATTTGAAATTTGGTGCGTTCCTCCACCTGCCCGGCCTGCTGTCTTGATGCGTCTTCCTCTCCCGCTTGTCTGTTCATCCTCTGAAATCTTCTGCTGCTTACAGCCTGACTTATACATACGCCCTGTTTCCCTCCATTCCGCCTTCCCCCAGCTTTTTGCTTCCTCTCAAGTCCCAGCCTCTCAGTTTAGTGTGACACTCGGATGTCACACTAAACCATGGTTTAGTGCAATGTGAATGAGCTGCAGTGGGAGCTGGGCTTCTTAATTCCCACCTCTCCTCTTGCAGAAGATTCTTGCCATGTTGTCTGGACCCACAACTGTGATCAATATTAACTGTGGTTAGTTCTGGCCTTTACATATTTGTAGTTGTGTTTTATCTCCTATAAGTACAATGATAACATCTTTTCCAATTCATATTCTCTCTCTTTCCCCCACCTCTCTCTGTAGGTTCCACGGTGGCAAGTGGAAACTGGGGGCTTTTGGACCAGGAAGCGGCTCTAAAATGGACCCAGAAAAACATTGCAAGTTTTGGAGGAGACCCTGGTCAGATTACAATCGCAGCTGATCGCAGTGGAGCAGATGTTTCCAGCATTCACCTGGTTACAGGGACTGTGGATTCTGGGCTCTTCAAGAGGGTGTTGCTGATGGTGAGTACCAATTCTCTCAGATTGTGGTAGTGGTAGGGGGTGGGGAGTTGGGTTCAGTTCACATTGAAAGGCAAATCTATCAATGTGCATTTTCTAAAACAAGAACTGAGACACAGTCACCCTTCAAAATTCGCTCTTTTTTGAATTTTGCAGTGCAGTTCTTCAGAGGGGCAACATGTACAAAAGTGCATATTCAAGAGTAAATGTGCATAAAAATGCATATATTAGTCAAAATATTATTAAAATGTGTGTATCGGGTCAGTTTGTGTATATTATGAGAAATTAACCTTAAAATGCTGCTGAATTTTCATGCGGACTTGCTTAAAAAAATAAATCAAGGTGAGAATTAAACTTAATAGTGGAAAAATGAGAAATTGATATGTATTCGCCCATCCCTTATGGGAGAGTGCCATTTCTTCCAAAAACAGCTGCTTTAGTCTAGTTCAGATGTATGTGAAACATATGGTAGTCTTTTACCCACAGAAATCTGTTTGTTTAATAATGTTTTATTACTTGGGGTTTTTTGGGTTTTTTTACACCTATATACATGTTTTCCTCAGCTTCACTCAAGGCTCATACGCTGTAACACAATTTACATTACACAAGGGAATCACCCACATAAATAAGTTTATATATGCATATCTGGGACCTCTGAGAGGTTGAAGATGAACTCCAGTTATTAACTAAAAACATGCTGGCTCTGGATTTCATAAGGCAGAACCTAATCTGATTTGATTTAGGCAAGTCTGCAAGCACAGCAACAGCCGGACTACTTTGCTTGAAACCGTAGATTTTCTCTACATTAAAAAAACAAACAAAAACCAGGGCATCAGGGAAAAGGTTCCAACTGACTTGGTCTCCTTGTGTTAGTTTTTTTCTTACATGGAATATTTTATGTACGGAATTGTAAAAAAGAAACGATTCTTCCGGCCGCATTCTGAGGTCCAGGGTAGGACCGTACCACCTGATTTCGCTAAGCAAAATAACCCTGAGCTTTGGATTATCTGAAGTTGTTTATCCCGCAGGCTCCTTTGTGTGATGAACTCTGCTAAAGGTCTTGTGTGGTCTGGCCAGGTCAGAGGAAGGCCTGACATTTGGAATAATTTTCCTCAGGGCAGAAGATTAAGATCTGGTAATATTCCAGTTCTATGACCTAAAATGCACGTGATGGTGTGTTGCTGTGTATAACTTGCGCCTATTATAAATAGTGTGTGCAATGTGGGGAAAGAACTGCCTTTGACTTGGATAAGAGCCTATAGAAATAGTAGCTGGCCAAACCCGAACGACCTGGTGGGTACACCTTTCTTTGTTCTCGCAACCAGAGCCATTTCTGAAAGAGCTTTCCTTATCAGTCGGCATCTACGGCTTTTCACTGTACACTTTAAGCCCAGTCTCCAGGCTCTGTCCCAGAGGACATGGTCTCTTGTGGACTGAAAAAATGGCGGTCGCGATATCTCCCAACAGTGCAAAAGTTTTGTCGTTTGAACATGGAGTATCTTAAGTTTCTTCTTGGCCACCTTTTGCTTTATCAGGATCTGTTCTCGTGATAAATGAAGGGTGATTCGAACTTGTTCCGTAATATGACAGACCTGCTTTTCTGCTTCCGGTTGTTCGTGTAAGAAGAGTCAGTTTCTCCAGTTAGGGCAAGATAGGAACTGATGCTGTTCCTCAGCCCAAAGCTCAGGCCAGAGTCCTCTATTCCAAGCATGTCTACAATGTCACTGTCATCTTCATTTGATCTTTAAAAAGAAGAAGGAGAAGGTTGTTTATTGTCTGAGATATTGATACACAATAAGGTACCTCAACTGCCTTAGCTTCTTTGCAGTTTGGCTTAGTGCAGTGCTAGAAGATAGACAAATGGATCTGGGAATGTGCCACAAAATGGGTTTGTGTGTCCCCAGGCCATTTTGTGATGTGCCACCCATGTTGGTCCTCTCCTGGTCTAACATTTGAACCCGAAGGAAAGCAGCATGAACATTTCTGAAATTGGAAGTAGCGATGGTTTCTCGTTGAAGAAGAATAGTTTATCCTGCTTCCAATCCTGGTTTCTTTCTTACCCTAATGATATCATTGTGGTGTGTTTTTTTGTTTTGTTTTTTTGAAGACAGAAATGCACATGCTCCAAGCCATCAAGTTAATGTATTCATGTAGCATTTCCAGAGTGTTTTGGCTGGTTATAACTAAGTTGGGGATGGCATGTGAGGTGGCTTCCCTGGCAAGGCATTGCTTGACATAAATCATGCAGGCAACCCTATGTAAAAAATAATAACTCTGACATCCACACAACAGAATACTGTATGAACCAGGCCTTGCTGAGAACATGACTTAGAATGCGCAAAGGGATTGTTAAATGATTGTATCACTGAGTAGGTGTGGGTTTAACAAAATAATCAGCCACTGCCTGTCGTCGTCTTCCGAATTTCAGTTTCCAACCCCTTTATTACCCTCCCCGCTTTTCAGATACAGTGGTACCTCAGGTTAAGAACTTAATTCCTTCTGCAGGTCTGTTCTTAACCTGAAGCTGCTCTTAACCTGAGGTACCACTTTAGCTAATGGGGCATCCCGCTGCCGCCGCACAATTTCTGTTCTCATCCTGAAGCAAAGTTCTTAACCCGAGGTACTATTTCTGGGTTAGCGGAGTCCGAAGCATCTGTAACCTGAGGTACCACTGTATTTATTTTAGCACACCCCTTTTTTTGTCTAAAGGTAAAGGGACCCCTGACCATTAGGTCCAGTCGTGGCCGACTCTGGGGTTGCGGCGCTCATCTTGCTTTATTGGCTGAGGGAGCCAGCGTACAGCTTCCGGGTCATGTGGCCAGCATGCCTAAGCCGCTTCTGGTGAACCAGAGCAGCACACAGAAACGTCGTTTACCTTCCTGTCAGAGCGGTACCTATTTATCTACTTGCACTTTGTGCTTTCGAACTGCTAGGTTGGCAGGAGCAGGGACCGAGCAACGGGAGCTCACCCCATCGCAGGGATTCAAACCACCGACCTTCTGATCGGCAAGTCCTAGGCTCTGTGGTTTAACCTACAGCGTCACCCGCATCCTTTTTTTTTTGTCTACAACACCAGACAAGGAATAAACTAGGCACAGAAGTGTAAATTCTGTAGTCCAAAACTCAATCCCGCTATTGCACATATCGTACGAAGCACGAATGTTTTAGCAAGCTTATATTGGTCAAACAGAGTAATTTATTCCAGTTGCAGAACTGGGGTTTTGTAGCTGCAGAATCTCAGAGCACCATCTGCATTGAAATAGCCCTCCAGACCTTTGTGGACGACAACTCACTTAATTCCTGACCATTGGGCCTGGACTGATGGGAGTTATAGTCCAAAACATCTGGAGGGCACTGAGTTGGGGAAGGCTGGCGTCAGCTGCCCCGACCAAACATTACCTCTGCGTATCCTTCCACGAGAAGGTCTTGCTGCGCATCACGACGGGGGTTTCTTGGTTCCTCGGCTCTTGATTCCTTACTTCGTTGCTGCTCGTGTGTTGCGTGAGGCAGGGAGTGGTCAGTATGCAGCAGAGGCCATCGGCTACCTCTGAAGGAAGAAATGGGCACAATATGAGTTGCAAGTCAAAATGGTCTCTGACTTTTGCAATGTTTTTGTATGTTTCTTGGTTATAATAATAATAATAATAATAATAATAATAATAATAATTTATTATTTATACCCCGCCCATCTGGCTGGGCTTCCCCAGCCACTCTGGGCTGCTTCCAACAAAATATTAAAATACTGTAATACATCAAACATTAAAAGCTTCCCTAAACAGGGCTGCCTTCAGATGTCTTCTAAAAGTCTGGTAGTTGTTCTTCTCTTTGACATCTGGTGGGAGGGCGTTTCACAGGGAGGGCGCCACTACTGAGAAGGCCCTCTGCCTGGTTCCCTGAAACTTGGCTTCTCGCAGTGAGGGAACCGCCAGAAGGCCCTAGGCACTGGACCTCAGTGTCCAGGTAGAACGATGGGGGTGGAGACGCTCCTTCAGGTATACAGGACCGAGGCCGTTTAGGGCTTTAAAGGTCAGCACCAATACTTTGAATTGTGCTCGGAAACGTACTGGGAGCCAATGTAGGTCTTTCAAGACCGGTGTTATGTGGTCTCAGCGGCCTCTCCCAGTCACCAGTCTAGCTGCTGCATTCTGGATTAGTTGTAGTTTCCAGGTCACCTTCAAAGGTAGCCCCACGTAGAGCACATTGCAGTAGTCCAAGCGGGAGATAGCTAGAGCATGCACTACTCTGGCGAGGCAGTCCGCAGGCAAATAGGGTCTCAGCCTGCTTACCAGATGGAGCTGGTAAACAGCTGCCTTGCACACAGAATTGACCTGTGCCTCCATGGACAGCTGTGAGTCCAAAATGACTCCCAGGCTGCGCATCTGGTCCTTCAGGGGCACAGTTACCCCATTCAGGACCAGGGAGTCCTCCACATCCGCTCGCCTCCTGTCCCCCCAAAACAGTACTTCTGTCTTGTCGGGATTCAACCTCAATCTGTTAGCCGCCATCCATCCTCCAACCGCCTCCAGACACTCACACAGGACCTTCACCGCCTTCACTGGTTCTGATTTGAAAGAGAGGTAGAGCTCTCTCTGGTTATATTTCTACCCCATCTTTTTAGTTCAGTAACTTCCAGGGCAGCTTACATGGAAAACATTAAAGATGAAATTAATTCCTTAATGTTTTTCTGCCTGAGCTGGCAGAGTTGCTGGAAACTTCAAGAGGGGAGGGGTCACAATTGTGGGTTCCCCACAGGCATCTGGTTGGCCACTGTGAGAAGAGGATGCTGGAAGAGATGACCAATTGGCCTCTTGATCCAGCAGGGCTCTTCTTAGGTTCTTGAAAACAGGGATAATGTTGGAAAGGTGACTGTGATTTATACAGACCATACTGCTTACAACAAAAGGGACGCGTGTGGCGCTGTGGGTTAAACCACAGAGCCTAGGACTTGCTGATCAGAAGGTCGGCGGTTCGAATCGCCGCGACGGGATGAACTCCCGTTGCTCGGTCCCTGCTCCTGCCCACCTAGCAGTTCGAAAGCACGTCAAAGTGCAAGTAGATAAATAGGTACCACTCTGGTGGGAAGGTAAACGGCGTTTCCGTGCGCTGCTCTGGTTCGCCAGAAGCGGCTTAGTCATGCTGGCCACATGACCCGGAAGCTGTATGCTGGCTCCCTCGGCCAGTAAAGCGAGATTAGCACCGCAACCCCAAAGTCGGTCATGACTGGACCTAATGGTCAGGGGTCCCTTTACCTTACTGCTTACAACACAGCTGGAGTAAAGCAAGAACTCTGCTGCTCTTTCGTTTTGTTGCTCAAAAGAGAGAGGCAGTGTGGCGTAATGGTTAGTGTGTTGAACTAGTGCCTGGGAGGGCAGGGTTCGAATCCTCACTCAGCCAGGAAGCTCTCTGGGTGACCTTGGCCCATTCAGCATCTCTGTGTATGGGGGTGGGAGGGAAACCTCTCTCTGCAAAACAGGCTAGAACTGGCTACAAAATGAGCTGTTGATCACCGTGTCTCTTCTACTTTTTCACATCCTCTATTGCAAACTTTAAAAAGCAAACAGCTTTGAAATGCATGATGAAGAATGAGATTATCACTCTGCCTTTGGGCTGTTGGATGTTTCTATCCACAAAAATGACCTAAATATAAGTGCGCTGCCTGTTGACATTTATCTAGCGCTGAGCTGCGAAGCTGTGTGCCAGCTTCCTTTCCCGCATTGTGTCAGCCACCAGTGAGTTCTGAGAAAAGGCATGGCTTCTAGGCAAATGTTGTGGCTTCACACTATGCAGAATGCATGCGATATTGGCATTAATGGCCAAACGTTAGCATTGTGTTTCCCCTGCAGGAAGGCTCCGCCCACTTTCGTTCTCTTTGTTCTGAGGGGCACATTCTGCCACTCGGAAGTGGTGCTGCCTTTAGATGGCAAGAGCTTGCGAGCGTGCAGTGAGCTTTCAGCATCACAGCCTTCTAATCGGCCTCAGAGCTCACGTAGCTCAGATTACAGGCGTCATGCTTGCAAATAAATAATAATAATAATAATCCCTGAGAAGTGCATGGTGGAGACTAGCCCTGCAATGGCAATGCCACAAAATACGCTGAGGTACAGTGGTACCTTGGGTTAAGTACTTAATTCGTTCTGGAGGTCCGTACTTAACCTGAAACTGTTCTTAACCTGAGGTACCACTTTAGCTAATGGGGCCTCCTGCTGCTGCTGCGCCGCCGGCGCATGATTTCTGTTCTCATCCTGAAGCAAAGTTCTTAACCTGAAGCACTATTTCTGGGTTAGCGGAGTCTGTAACCTGAAGCGTATGTAACCCGAGGTACCACTGTACAGTGAGATTCTGCTTTCTACATTGCAATGCACGTGGTTGCTGCACCTTTTAAAAGACGTGCAAATATCATATTGGGTGAACCCGTGTCTGATTTTAGCACTGAGCCTAAGAGGGAGCTTTTCCTCCAGGCTGTTGCCTCTTCCCTGTGAAAAGCGATGCCTCTCCTTTTTGGCCGTTTTCTTTTACTTGCACCCCTCTGCAAAAGGGAGTGGAAGTGCCCACAAGAGAATGAGTGCCGAGGGAAGAGGGAAATGATCCCCATTGCCGAGGAAATCTGGCTGATCTCCTTTGCCCCCCAGTCCAATTGTGCGTGGATGAAAATGAACACCAGAATCTGCATCCTGCTTAAAATAATGCAGTGAATGTGGATTTCACCTGCACCTTTAGGTGCTTCTTAATAATAATAATAATAATAATTTATTATTTCTACCCACCCATCTGGCTGGGTTTCCCCAGCCACTCTGGGCAGCTTTCAACAGAACATTAAAAACAAAATAACTTTCAAACATTAAAAACTTCCTTAAACAGGGCTGCTATGTACCAGATGCACATGGACTGTACAGGAAATTATTATTATTATTATTATTATTATTATTATTATTATTATACCCTACTCATCTGAATGGGTTGTCCTAGCCGTTCTGGGCAGCTTCCAAGAGATACAAGAACACAATAAATCATCAAGTATTGAAAACTTCCCTAGAAAGGGCTGCCTTCAGATGTCTTCTAAAAGTCAGATACTTGTTTATTTCCTTGACATCTGATGGGAGGGTGTTCCACAGGGCGGGCGCCACTACCGAGAAGGCCCTCTGCCTGGTTCCTTGTAACCTCACTTCTCACAGTTAGGGAAATGCCAGAAGGCCATCAGAACTGGACCCCAGTGGGGTCTGGACAATGGGGGTGGAGATGCTCCTTCAGGTATACTGGGCCAAGGCCATTTAAGGCTTTAAAGTTCAGCACCAACACTTTGAATTGTGCTCGGAAACGTACTGGATGCAGCCTCCACTTCCTGCCGGTGGAGAGATCCCACTGCTACAGCATCCCTGATAGGATGGCTAAACTATCAGGGATGCTGCCTTTCATTCTTCCTCATTGCATCATTTTCAACCAGATGTGGAGTTAGAATCATAGACTTGTAGAGTTGGAAGGGACCACCAGGGTCATCTAGTCCAACCCCCTGCAGTGCTGGAATCTTTTGCCCAACATTGGGCTCGAACCCAGAACCCTGAGTTTAAGAGATTAACCCTGAGATTAAGAGTCTCATGCTCCACCAACTGAGCTATCCCAGAGTTGGTGAGCATATTCACAATCTTCTACTTCTAGTTGCACCCAGCTGCATGTAACTGCTGTCGGCATGGGGCCAAAATCTTTATGTGCAATATTAGCAGGCCATCAAACCATCAAAACAGGATGTGTTGTTCCCATCGCCCCAGAAACAGGAACATTGTTCTCCCCCCGTGCTCCCACCCACATTCAGACTGAGGACAAATGTAAGTACAGTGGTTGTTGTTGTTTAGTGGTTTAGTCATGTCCGACTCTTCGTGACCCCATGGACCAGAGCACGCCAGGCACTCCTGTCTTCCACTGCCTCCCGCAGTTTGGTCAAACTCATGCTGGTAGCTTCGAGAACACTATCCAACCATCTCGTCCTCTGTCGTCCCCTTCTCCTTGTGCCCTCCATCTTTCCCAACATCAGGGTCTTTCCCAGGGAGTCTTCTCTTCTCATGAGGTGGCCAAAGTATTGGAGCCTCAGCTTCAGGATCTGTCTTTCCACTGAGCACTCAGGGCTGATTTCCTTAAGAATGGATAGGTTTGATCTTCTTGCAGTCCATGGGACTCTCAAGAGTCTCCTCCAGCACCATACAGTGGTACCTCGGCTTAAGTACTTAATTCGTTCTGGAGGTCCGTTCTTAACCTGAAACTGTTCTTAACCTGAAGCACCACTTTAGCAAATGGGGCCTCCTGCTGCTGCTGCGCCACCAGAGCACGATTTCTGTTCTCATCCTGAAGCAAAGTTCTTAACCCAAGGTACTATTTCTGGGTTAGCAGAGTCTGTAACCTGAAGTGTCTGTAACCTGAAGCGTATGTAACCCGAGGTACCACTGTACATACATAGTTAGCCACCAGTGATATCATTACATAGCCAAATCTCTTTGGCTCTGAATGGTTCTGTGTCGTGATTTTGTTCACCTTGGTAGACAGGTGAGTCACAATGAAGGGCCCTCCTGAAATCTCTGAATTAGCAGCATTGCAAGGGGTTGGACTAGATGACCCTTGGTGCCCCTTCCAACTTTACAATTCTATTATTTTTATCCTAGGGCTGCAAATAAGGGTGAAGGGTCCTGGCTCAATGGTGGAGCAGGAAAAGGTTCCAGGTTCAATCCCTGGCATGCAGGGCTGGAAGCGTCCCTTGTTTGAAACCCTGGAGAGCTTCTGCCAGTCAGTGCTGGCAATATTGAACTACATGGACTCCATAGTATTATTATTCTAGATTTATTAGTTGTGTGCTTCATGCAAGACACCCAAAGCAACTGACAAACACTAAAACCAGCTGCAACAATCAATAGAAACCTTAAAAGCTCCACATCCGCACAAATAAAAGTCAGGCCCTTTCAGAGCCTGCCCAACCAGAAGAGGAAAGGCAGTTTTCCTAAAATTTAAAATATATATTTCTAAAGTAGGGGAGTTTAAACAGTTCCCAAAAGTCCACTGTTCACGTAAGAAATGATTGCATATAAGAGTTTGGCGCAATATTGGCACATCCACAAACTTGTGAAGCGTAGGAAGAGAACATCTTGCAAAACTGGATATTTGTTTCCTGCAGACTCATAGTTTGACCCTTGGGTGACAGTTATGCAATGGCCACTACCTAGGGGCGAGCAAATCCTGTCCCTGTGTCTCTGCGCATCTTTCAGCACACTGACATACGAAATTGGATCTGCATTCTTGTCAAATAATAATAATAATAATAAATTTTTATTTATACCCCACCCTTCCTGGTTCAAAAACCGGGCTCAGGGTGGCTAACAACAAATTTAAAACACTTAATTGTAAAAGCAGCAAAGAATACAGTATAAAAACATGAATAACAATAAAATTCAAAGTTCGGAAATCAATTTAGGGGAAATCCATCTAATAAACATTAGATGATCACCAGGGCTGGCTCGCTGAATTAGTCCTACTTGGGCCAGCGAGGAGGCCAGGAGAGAATTAGCTGTGGGGTCTCAGAGCAGGTAATCTTCATAAAAGGGGAGGGGAAGGGAAGAGAAGGGAAATAAAAGATCAGGCTGAATTCAAATTAAAAGCCAGGCAGAATCGCTCTGTCTTACAGGCCCAACGGAAGGAGGTTAAATCCTGAAGGGCCCTAGTCTCATGTGACAGAGCATTCCACCAGGTCGGAGCCATCACTGAAAAAGCAGAATAACTGAGCATTCCATGGGGATTACCATTTGCAATGGCGCATCATGTTCTCCACTCAAAAGCCAAGGTAACCGTATGAATCAAAGCAGACTTATGTGGTGAGCTGCGTTTCTGAAAGCTTGAAAACGCTTGTTTGTTTTTGAGCAGAACGCGCCTTCTTACCGGAATAGTGATTTACGAGGTCCTCAAGGCACTGGAAAGTTTGCCGAGGAGAGATATAATACCAGTTGTTTGGCAGGCGGAAGATTCTGTAATGTTTCACTTGTACGTGCCGGACTGACAACGAATACAAACCTAGAGAAGGGAGAAAAGCCAAACAATCATCCATTTGTCTGGATACCGAGAAACCCGGGAGCAGTTAAGACATTTTAGAGGGATAGAGACACTGCAAGCACACCTTGTTTTTATCCCATTTGGCTTGTCATGCCAACCTCTAAAGAATAATTGGAATTAGACCTTGGTGGGGACGATTCCTTATTATAGGCTGCTATGGACGCAGGTGGCGCTGTGGGTTAAACCACAGAGCCTAGGACTTGCCAATCAGAAGGTCAGCGGTTCGAATCCCCACGACGGGGTGAGCTCCCGTTGCTCGGTCCCTGCTCCTGCCCACCTAGCAGTTCAAAAGCACATCAAAGTGCAAGTAGATAAATAGGTACCACTCCGGCGGGAAGGTAAACGGCATTTCTGTGCGCTGCTCTGGTTCGCCAGAAGCAGCTTAGTCATGCTGGCTACATGACCCGGAAGCTGTACGCCGGCTCCCTTGGCCAGTAAAGCGAGATGAGCGCCGCAACCCCAGAGTCGGTCATGACTGGACCTAATAGTCAGGGGTCCCTTTACCTTTACGGATGCCTTGGTAGAGCCCCCCCCCCCAAAAAATTCCCAGGATTCCCAAGGATAGGGGAAAACTGTTAACCTAGCACAGGAATTGCAGGACTTATGGCTCTCCAGATCCCAGATCCATCTAACATGGGATGAAAGCAGCTGTAGGCAGGGCTACATTTTACTCACCCCAGCTGGAATTTGCCTGTGCCTGGTATATAGTGTGTACGCAGCCATAGTCCAAAACATCTGGACAACACCAAGTTTGTGAAGTCTGGTTTAAACTGCCCTTAAGAGGAAGTATCAGACAGAGAAGTGGCAAAAGTTGAAAGTAAAATCTCATTTTCTCACCTTTTGTTGTTTCGCTCTTTCTAATCATGAACGAGCCAATTCTGGTGTTGGGAAGCAGCAGAAGTTCTTCAGCTTTTTCTCTTCCCAGACCTTCAAATAACCAACTGTAGGAGAAGGGAGGCTGGGGTTATATGAGTGAAAAGGCAAGCTTGTCTTGTCCACAGAAATGCAGAGTTAATTAGGGAAGTACCGTATACAGTGGTACCTCGGGTTACAGACGCTTCAGGTTACATACACTTCAGGTTACAAACTCCGCTAACCCAGAAATAGTACCTCGGGTTAAGAACTTTGCTTCAGGATGAGAACAGAAATCGTGCTCCAGTGGCATGGAGGCAGCGGGAGGGCCCATTAGCTAAAGTGGTGCTTCAGGTTAAGAACAGTTTCAGGTTAAGAACGGACCTCCAGAACGAATTAAGTACTTAACCCGAGGGACCACTGTAATGTATTTTTGGTACTGCTACTTTTTTTAAAAAAATAAATCACTGCGAATATAGGCGTCCCCTGGTAGCTGGAAAATTGCTAGTCATGAATGGCAAGGGAGATCCCCCAAAATATGGTGCTTTCTGCATGTGTAAGAGAGATTTATACCAGGGACAGGGAACCTGTGGCCCTCTAGATGTTGCTAGACTTCAACGCCCATCATTAGGGATGGAGGGGAAATTCAATTCAGTACACATTTTAAGTCAAATCTATCAAATTCACACGTTCTGAAACAACACACAAGCCAAATCACAGTGAAGCAGATTGGAAGGATTTGGGGGGTAGCCCTCCTCCTGAGCCGAAGTGTGATGTCAATATTGCCCCACCCAAGTTGAATCAGAGAGTGCTCTGCCCCTCTGTTTTTTCTGTACAGAAAGCAGCATGTTTATCTGTCTACCTTATCGTCTATCTCTAGGTCCACAGGCTTTGCAAGAGGTTAAGGGTGTCTAAAATGTCGCCTGCAAAGCACTGGAAAACTCTGGTTTGTTTTGTTGTTGTTAAAGCACAGTGGTAGGGAGTCTTTCTTCAGTTAAAAGCCTCATTTAATTTTTAAAAACTCCTACACAGCTCTTCTTTACCACCCCCACCCCATCTCTTCAGAACTCCCCTAGCAGTGTTCTAGGGAGTGTTGCATTGAAAATAAAGTTTTTTTAAAAAGTGCATGCAAAAATTTACACCTCTCAGCCACCTCTTATTTATTTTAAGGCAGGAAAGAGCAAAATAAGTTCTGCTCCCCTGAGCAAGAGACGACCCACACTCTCCCCGCTGCTTATATGGGATGATGGAATCCATTTTGCTTTCCACACAAAAAGTTTGGGTTCCTCTGCCTGTAAATTCCATCCACTTTGGTCAAAAGATGGGAATGTCGTAGTTGGTTTTAGAGTCTTCATTATAGCGAACAAAGAAACACAGGGGTTCATCTTATACAGTGACTCACAAGCCAAATTACTATATATCCTGACACATTATCTATTATCTATTATCTATCTATCTATCTATCTATCATCTATCATCTATCATCTATCATCTATCATCTATCATCTATCATCTATCTATTATCTATCTATCATCTATCTATCTATATCTATCTATCTATCATCTATCTATCTATCTATCATCTATCTATCTATCTATCTATCTATCTATCATCTATCTATATCTTTCAATCTATCTATCTATCTATCTATCTATCTATCTATACCATCTATCATCTATCTATCTATCTATCTATCTATCTATCTATCATCTATCATCTATCTGTCTATCATCTATCTATCTATCTATCTATCTATCTATCTATCTATATCTTTCAATCTATCTATCTATCTATCTATACCATCTATCATCTATCTATCTATCTATCTATCTATCTATCATCTATCTGTCTATCTATCATCTATCTATATCTATATCTATCTATCTATCTATCTATCTGTCTATCTATCATCTATCTATCTATCTATATCTATCTATCTATCATCTATCTTTCTATCATCTATCTATCATCTATCTATCTATCTATCTATCTATCTATCTATCTATCTATCATCTATCTATCATCTATCTATCTATCATCTATCTATCTATCTATCATCTATCTATCTATCTATTATCTATCTATCTATCTATCTATCTATATCTATCTATCTATCTATCATCTATCTTTCTATCATCTATCTATCATCTATCTATCTATCTATCTATCTATCTATCTATCTATCTATCTATCATCTATCTATCTATCATCTATCTATCTATCTATCTATCTATCATCTATCTATCTATCATCTATCTATCTATCTATCTATCTATCTATCTATCATCTATCTATCTATCATCTATCTATCTATCTATCTATCATCTATCTATCTATCTATCTATCTATCTATCTATCTATATCTTTCGATCTATCTAGCTATATCATCTATCATCTATCTATCTATCTATCTATCTATCTATCTATCTATCCAGCTATCTATCATCTATATCTATATCTATATCTATCTATCCAGCTATCTATCATCTATCTATCTGTCTATCTATCTCTCTCTCTCTCTCTCTCTCTCTATCTATCTATCTATCTATCATCTATCCCTATCTATCATCTATCTATCTATCTATATCTATCTATCTATCTATCTATCTATCTATCTCTTATTTATCTATCTATCATCTATATCTATCATCTATCTATTATCTATCGATCTGTCAATCTATCTATCATCTACTGTATCTGTCTTTCTAGCTTTTTTATACAGATCATGATTACAGTGGTGCCTCGCAAGACGAAATTAATTCGTTCCGCGAGTTTTTTCGTCTAGCGAGTTTTTCGTCTTGCGAGGCATTCGTCTTGCGGGGCACCACTGTATTATCAATTATATTTGTATCCCATTTTTCCTCCCAGGAGCCCAGGTTGGCTTACATAGTTCTCCTCCCCATTTTATCCTCACAACAACCTTGTAAGGCAGGTTAGGACTATAGGCCCAAGGTCATATAGTGAGCTTCATGGCTGAGTGGCGATTTGAACCCTGATCCCCAGATCCTAGTCCGACACCGCTACCTGACACATTTATATGATGAACAAAATACAGCTGTGCCAAGACAACACTGGGAGTTTTCTCACCCGTGGTAAACTTTTGCTACACATTTTTCCGGGATGTAGTTTTCTTGACCTGTAGTGAGGGAACGGGCTCTCCACCAGCCTCCTTCACTGCAAGAGAGAGAGAGAGAGATATGAAATGCATATTGAAATTTACCGTCATTGTAGCGAAACAAGGCGAGTGGGGGAAATGGTCTAAAATATATCCCTGTGGGTTGTGAACTCCAACAGACATATGAGGGATAAAGGTGATCATCAGTGAAACTACTAGACTTCCTCTTTCCACCCGTTGTATAAAAAAAGAAACTCAGTAAAGTTAATGAGACTTCCTGTTTCCAGATGAGGTAACATCTCCCCCTCCCCCCCGAATCATATGTCAGCTGCTCATTTCGCTGTTGTCTCTGCCGGAGATTTGCAATTTACAACTCTGTCATCTGTCTGGAATACCCACATGCCCGTTACAAGAGGAAGATCATTTCTCTGTGCTACTTTAGGTCAAGGACGAGGAATCTCAAGTCCAGCGACCTAATGTGGCCCTCCAAGCCTCTTTGTGTGGCCCTCAAAAGTCTCCCCAGGCCACACACCAGTGTAAACAAGAGATGCATGTCAGGGCAAAAATCTTAATTTCACATCCATTTTAAAAATATTTGGGAATGGCTGACTATTCAATAGGATGCACTCACTTTACATTGTTTAAATAAAAAGAATAAAGTAAAGGTGATGGCATTGTTAGCATATTAATAAGCATTTCCAAAGAATGACATACACATTCTAGGGATAAAATAGGGCTGCCATATGTCCAGGTTTTCCTGGACACATCCGGGAATCGGATGGAAAAATGGTGGATTTTTGCTGAATAGGCAATATGTACGGGAAAACCCCGACGTATGGGAAGTGAATTGAAGAATACACTGTCCTTGGGTTGCTTAAATGTTAAGGTTAATATGAAGCCACTGTGATTGTTCACATGCTAACTTTATCAGGGCCTGAATGCTCTGGGTGATATTTAACTAAAAATCCATACTAAATAGCGCCAACGAAATCGACAAACTCAAGCAAGTCGTGGCTCATTCAAGTCCATTGTTTTCGGTGGGTCTGCCCCGAGTATGTCAGCCTGATACCATCCTGTATAGTAAAGGTAAAGGGACCCCTGATCATTAGGTCCAGTCGTGGCGGACTCTGGGGTTGTGGCGCTCATCTCGCTTTATTGGCCGAGGGAACCGGCGTACAGCTTCCAGGTCATGTGGCCAGCATGACTAAGCCACTTCAGGCGAACCAGAGCAGCGCATGGAAATGCCATTTACCTTCCTGCTGGAGCGGTACCTATTTATCTACTTGTACTTTGACGTGATTTCGAACTGCTAGGTTGGCAGGAGCAGGGACCGAGCAACGGGAGCTCACCCCGTCGCGGGGATTCAAACCGTGACCTTCTGATCAGCAAGTCCTAGGCTCTGTGGTTTAACCCACAGCCCCACCCGTGTCCCATCCCATATACACCATCCTGTATATTTGACTGCAAAGCTGGGATCTTTGCAGAAACTTTTCAAGCCCCAGTATAACTGATTCTAACAGGCAGACTGTTGAAGGATAGGGGAAGTAACATTTTCTGTAGCTCTCGGTACAGAAGTTGGCAGCGTAGCCCCATGGCCTGTTCTCTCATCTGAGTTACAGCTTTTGGCCCCGGCTGCAAGTTCCCTGAGCATTTTTTCGTGCCTCAGCAGAATCAAAACAGGAAAAGGAAAGTTCCACTAAGTGCTGACTTTCACGCTTGTGAGCTACGGTCTCCATTGCGTGATTGGTACACAGCAGGTATATTTGAGCAAAATCCACCTGATTTTTTATTTCTTTATAGACAAGCAAACGCCCGTTATGAGCAACGCCCTCTGAATCACCTGAGACATGCAAAACACCTCCGAGCCCTAACCCCTTAATAGCGGAGCTTTCCTTGTTGCCCAGTTATTTACAAAACAGAGACTTTCGGTTGTTTCTTACACGTAGGAAAAGTGACTTCACCCCCTCAGTTTCACATGCGGAGATAGAGAGGAGGGGGAATTTGTTGGAAACTACTTAAATCAGTTGCCGTTGGTAAGGTTCGGAAACCATTTTCTCCCCCAGCTCAAATGGACTAGAACCTTGAGAGTTGTATGTTTTATTTCCAGTAGCCCATGGGAGCCCTTTGGGTCTCCTCTTCAGACCCTCACATGTCCCCTGACCGTTGATGCTGCAAACCAATTTTGCTGCCGCTGCCAATTTTTGTGGCACGAAGGGGATGGGGACGCCTACCCAAAATCGCACTTCTCGGCAGCACAGCATTGAATAACGCGAATTTCTCAGCTGTCCTTCAACTTAATGCAAACTTCTTCATTTTTTGAGAATAAAATAGGAAGGTACTCACTCTGATATTACACGCAATTTTTCTCCGACGTGAAATATAGGTTGGCTTATATCCGGATCAGGGTAGTTGTCAAGGACAGCAAGGAAGTCACTTCTATGGCCTGAAGAAGAGTGAAGGATGCAAAATATGAAGTCAATATGTTCACCAGAATCCAGTCATAACCTTGGTGCATCCAAGGCCTTGACCCAGTATACCTGAAGGAGCATCTCCACCCCCATAGTTCAGCCCAGACACTGAGATCCAGCTCTGAGGGCCTTCTGGCAGTTCCCTCCTTGCTAGAAGAGGTTGTAGGGAACCAGGCAGAGGGCCTTCTCGGTGGTGGTGCCCGCCCTGTGGAATGCCCTCCCATCAGATGTTAAAGAAATAAACAACTATCTGACTTTTAGAAGACATCTGAAGGCAGCCCTGTTTTGGAAGTTTTTAATGTTTGATGTTTTATCGCTTTATTATCAGTATTATTAATACTCTGTTGGGAGCCGCCCAGAGTGGCTGGGGAAACCCCACCATATGGGCGGGGTATAAATAATAAATTCTTATTATTATCCCAGAATAATATGTTTCAGAAGATGTGGGCCAAAGTGAATCCTAGTACAGTGGTACCTTGGTTTATGAACTTCCGTTCTTAGACCGAGGTAAAGTTCACAAACCGGGACACTACTTCCAGTTTTGTGGAGTTTGTAAACCGAATCGTTCGTAAACAGGACTGTTCTTAAACCAAGGTACCACTGTACTTCATTTCTGATAGATACAAATTCAGTACCTAAGTCTGGTGAGAGATGTTGACGCCTCTCTGGAAAGGTCATCTTTTGAACGGGAAGCTCTACCTTTAATATCTGTTGTCGGGGGGACTCAGTCCCTGTGGTGACTCAGTGGGAAGATAAATGCACTCTGCTCATGCCCAAGGTTCCCTTGCATTTATGCTTAGCTCACATGTTCCTAAGTTGAGCCCTAGCACTTAAAATACAAAACTCCCGTGGCCGTGTTGCCTCACGCACATGGAGTCCCCTCAAAGGATCCTGAGAACTGTAGTTTGCTCCTCACAGAGCTCCAGTTCCCAGCACCCTTAAAAAGAAATCCAGTTTCCAGGATTCTCTGGGGAAAGCCATGTGCTTTCACATTGGCAATGAGATCTTATAGTCTAACATAATGAATTAACTGCACCCCTTAAATGCTATCCAGACTGCCCACTAACCCTCTCTTCCCAACTGGTTCTCAAAGGGTCTGGCAGGAGAGGATGGGAAAATTCAAGGACAATCAAAGAAAAATTTAAACATTTCAGTGTGGTACGGTTTAGTAAAATATACTGTAATCATTATTATTTTTGTACAACATGTAGCTGTTTTCTGGATGTCTCATGGTAGTATTATAAAATAGTTGTGTTCTATGGGAGATATATATATAGAGAGAGAGAGAGAGAGAGAGAGAGAGAGAGAGAGAGAGAGAGACAGATAGATTATTAAAATTTTATATTTCTCATATATATATATATATATATATATATATATATATATATATAAAATTTTCAGCTTTTGCAAATATTTTGACAAGAAAAAACAAATCTTTACAAATCTAATTTACCTCCCCCTCGACTTCCCTCCTTTCTTTGGTTATTTGTTTCTTCATATCCAATTCATACATATTTACAAATTTTCCCTTGTCTTCCCCTTAATTGTCTCTTACTGCACGTGTTCGTATCAGTCCCACAAATGTTTTAATTTATAGACAATGGGTCTTCAAAGAGTCAATGAATTTCCCCCATTCTATTTTAAAAAGTCTCCCTTCATGATTTCTTGTTCTTCCGGTGAGTTTCACCATTTCTGCATATTCCATTCATTTTAATTGCAAGTCTTCCTTCGACAGAACTATTTCTTCCTCCCATCTTTGGCCATAAATCGTTGTCTTCTGTGTTATAAATCGGACACTGCTAGGAGTTGTTTCTTTTTGTTTTCCTTTTTTTTATCAATGAAAAATTCAGTGTGGTGAAAGCAAATTTTTGTTCTGAAAGTGTGGCACAAATTTTTTTTTGAGAACCATTGGAGGCCCACATTACCCCTACCCGAGAGCTGCATAAAATCCTGTCAAAACCCTGTTTATTTGCCATTAATTATGTGGCACCTGAATGCCATCTCCCAAAGCCTAGCTGGCAACGCATTTCAGGTACATATTCAGCCCTGTTCACTACTAAGACTAGGCCTGCTATTGCCACGATAGCTGCTATCTCCTGTCTCTGGCTGAATATTTATCCTGGGCCGCTACAATCTAATCAGATGATGCCACGTTGATTTTCTTATGTCAAACAAGCAGTACATCTTTATCTTGCCAATAGTCTAAAAATAGTTTGAGGCTTAAAAATAGCACAGGGCGGAAATGCAAAACCACAGGAAGTCAGAAAAATCAAGGTCGCCTTCCTGTTCAGTTAGCAGTTGGGTTGGGTACCTCTTGACTTGGCTAGCTCCTCTGCCAGCAGCACAGCTGCTATCGACAGAGAAAACAAGGACACCTTCGTCATAAAGGCACAAGATAACATTTACATGTCCTGTTTGCTCATGCGTAAATTTATCGGGAAGTGAGGTTGTAAGGAGAGACCACAACATAGCGCTTTGCATTCAGGAGGGGGTTTGTAGTCCATCCTTGGTGCCGTACCATTTTTGCTTGTTTTCTTCTCCCTCCCAATACATTTTCCTTTTGTGCTGTGTGTCTCTAGGCTGTTAACCTGGGGACAAAAACTGTCCTGTTTGCAGTGATCTGTAAACTGCTCTGGGAGACTCTTTTTTTTTTTTGGTGGGGGGCTAGAGAACAGGATGATGCTGAATATATTGGGCAATTTCAGTAGCTCAACAACACAGTTCAGAATGTAAGAAGGCATCATTTTCCATTCCATCCTGTATTAGCCGCATACGGCAATGTTTCCGTTCTCCTGCAGTTCACCTCCCTCTAAAAACTACATTGCTCATCTCACTGTCTGCTGTAATAACATCATGTAACTTATATAATTTACATAACCACATAAATTAAGCTGCCATTATGCAATTCCACCCTGTTCATTTCAGTGCAAAGAAAGCATAGTGCAAATGGGAGCGAGGAAGCGATGAATTGCCTATTGTTTCTGGACTAAGAGCAACAATGACAGTGGATACCAATTGTATTTGCTGGAGCGATTTCCATAGTGGACATGGGTCAAATAAGCAAACACTGGGAACTCACCCACCCTGACATCTCAAGTTAAGATGACCCAAGAGCCTGTCAGGGTTTTGTAACCACCCATTGCACCAGATTTTGTAGCCGGTGGCACTTGTGAGCAGGATATTCTTGCATAGTTGCTGGCCTTGTTTAGCGCATGGTGACCCTCAGTCCAGAATATCTGAAGGAGTGTCTCCACCCCCATTGTTCTGCCTGGACACTGAGGTCCAGTGCTGAGGGCCTTCCGGCGGTTCCCTCACTGCCAGAAGCGAGGTTACAGGGAACCAGGCAGAGGGCCTTCTCAGTGGTGGCTCCTGCCCTGTGGAACGCCCTCCCACCAGATGTCAAAGAGAAGAACAACTACCTGACTTTTAGAAGACATCTGAAGGCAGCCCTCTTTAGGGAAGCTTTTAATGTTTGATGCATTACTGTATTTTAATATTGTGTTGGAAGCCGCCCAGAGTGGTTGGGGAAGCCCAGTCAAATGACGGGGTATAAACAATTATTATTATTACAGCCCCTCTCCACACACCCAAACCTTGACTCTAGCCCTTTCCTGAGAGACTCCAAAAAGGATACTAAAACTCTGAAAACTAATGGAAAGCAAGTGGGATCTGCGAGAAAACATTGCTATGTGGAGTGATCCTGTTCAGATTTCTGGTCAAGCAGCCAAGCCCGCCTCCAGGATATTCCATTCCACTCCCCACCCAAGTTCTTTTCTCCCTCATCCCAGTATTTAGCGTTATGTGGAACGTAGTCCTCATTGTTGCTTATTTCTTATCCTTTGCACAGGTGTGTGTTTCTCTAAAGCAGGGGTCAGCAAACTTTTTCAGCAGGGAGCCGGTCCATTGTCCTTCAGAGCTTGTGGGGGGCCGGACTATATTTTTTTGGGGTGGAATGAATGAATTCCTATGCCCCACAAATAACCCAGCGATGCATTTTTTTTTTTTAAAAAAGCACACATTCTACTCATATAAAAACACCAGGCAGGCCCCACAAATCACCCAGAGATGCATTTTAAATAAAAGGACACATTCTACTTGTCATGTAAAAACATGCTGACCATCCATGGGCCGGATTTAGAAGGTGATTTGGCTGGATCTGGTCCCCGGGCCTTAGTTTGCCTACCCCTGCTCTAAAGGTTTTTTCTTTTCTTTTTGGCATTTCTTAAAACTTTGGGAACAACGAAGCCACAGGCCGGGCTTGACCTTACGATTTAAAGGTAAAGAAGACCTTTGTTCTTTTGCGTAAATGTGTTCTTTTTTTTAAAAAGTCTTATAAAATCTTTTCACACTTAGCAGTTCGAAATGCACTCCTTGATTTTGGTATGAGATGCAGAGGCAGATTAGGGGAACGCAACCAGTTTTGACTGAGCTGGGAGCAGAGCCTCAGGGGTGCCAGAACTATGAAATAGAATGGAAGGTGAGAGGGGCGGGGTGTGAATTTTGGCGTCGCACAGGGTGCCGCTGAAATTTGAGCCCCCAAGGTCTGCGAGATGCAAACTATATAGCTTGCAAGTGATGCATCAAAAGTGTGAAGCACCCAAAAACTAAGATTTAGGATCGGGGCAATGCTCAGGTTTATTGGGTGGGTGTGTAGGTAAGCGAGCCCTTAATGAAATCCACAAGCCCCCCCCCCCCCGTTTTGACCAAACTCTGATGGAACTGTGATTTTAATTCCCCATCATGTCATAGTGTCACTCTGTGATATGGAGGGAAATTAAAATGTGACCCCGCAACTGTGGGGGCCTTGTGGGAAGTTAAAATGGCAGCTCCCCAACTCAGCTGCCCAATTGGTTCGAGTCCTGCTTGAGTCCTGCCAGGTCAGAGTCAGTAGGGGGACTTGTTGGAGGTTTGGGATGCTGACAATTGCCTGAGGCCACTACAGTGATACCTCGGGTTAAGTACTTAATTCGTTCCAGAGGTCCGTACTTAGCCTGAAACTGTTCTTAACCTGAAGCACCACTTTAGCTAATGGGGCCTCCTGCTGCTGCCGTGCCGCCGGAGCACGATTTCTGTTCTCATCCTGAAGCAAAATTCTTAACCCAAGGTGCTATTTCTGGGTTAGCCGAGTCTGTAATCTGAAGCGTATGTAACCCGAGGTACCACTGTATATGCTGATGCTGTCTCTGAAAGACTTTTTTTTTTTTGCTCATGGCATGTCATGTTCGTCAACAATTTATGGTCTCCCTTTCTCTTCCCACTCCTCCTCCTCCGAAATTGTAATTTAATTTAATTTAAGCACACTTACCAGATTGCCAGGATGTGATATTTATCTCAGGCGTGGTTTTTGTCGTTCTTATAGTGTTCCCCATTGTTCTTCCTTCAAAGCGCGAGCTTCAGAGCTAAAGTAGCAAAGGCAGATGCAAAAGCTTCAGGTTAGCACCTGCTTTGCTTACTAACATTTAGTAGCTTGTTAGAAGAAGAAGAAGAAAGCAGACACATACTTTGCATTGATTCTTCTCCTTAATTATTTGATGTTCTGCATGTGTCTGAGAAACACATGCGTTTGCTTAAGTTCTCACAACTTCCCTGAAGTTGTCACAACAGTGGCCGAAAACCGCAACCAGAAACATTGACAAGAACTGATGTATAAAACAGTATTTTCCACTGATGTTGTATTTGCATAATAGGAAGTTGCAGTCAAAGCATGAAGTGTGTGTGTGTGTGTGTGTGTGTTTGGGGGCACCAGGGACAATAAGACGTCAATATACTTAGTCTACGCAAACTCAGGCATACAAAATACACACTCTGTCTCCCCAAATCAGTCTCTTTTCTCCAGGGTTTCCCCCCCTCCCACTCTGCCTCAGTTTCCTCTCTGTTGAACCACAGAGGGATGGAAACCATTCCCTGAAATATATCCACATACCCTCAAGAATTAAAACAGACAGCGCTGGTTTTATAAGGCACAGCTTAGTTTCATAACAATTTCAGCAAGAGACGGAGGCTTGGTTCCGATTTTAACACAGACTCGCCTAATTTGCACTCCCCAAAGCAATATGCAGACTGAAACACAGCTAGCCTTCAAAGCCCACACTTCTACGAATTTTGTGATTCTCTGACCGAAAATGTGTGCAAAAATGTGTAAATCAGGAGAGAGTCTGCGTGGGAATTGTCCCCCACCCCCAAATGGCCTATGAAAAAGTCACTGGCAGACTAATAAACTAAAAGGCTGAAAAGTCCATGGAGTCAGTGTTATAATATACCAGACTGAATGGTGGGGAACTTCTGATGCCAGCTCTAAGAGGTCTATTTGTGGCTAAGGTTATTCCTCAGTTGACATAGGGTGTAGAAATCTGGGGCATTTTGAAGGCAAAACAGTTGGAGATAATACAGAACAGATTTATTTGCTCTTTATTGGGTCTCCCACCAAGGGCACATGTGACTGGAGTAATTCCAAATTTATTTTATGTTGGAGGCTGTTGTCTTTTATTTTTTAAAAAACTGAGACCTTTGGTAAATGTAGTGGCAGAATTGTGTACAGAAGGACAGCCTCATTCATTCTTCCCATACACCCGGATAGCTATCAGTAAATTGTTACTGAGGAAATATGGACTTGACTGAGAGACGCATTTTGCTGCGTAAATGCAGCTTACAATGCAGTATTAAAGCACAGCTCTTAAGAGCCGTCTGCAGAATAATACACAGGCACCATGATTTTATCCAGATTTTCCAGTACTTTGCCTGCTTAAAATCGCACTGTGGGGAAGAGAAATACTTATTTGAGGACTTTTTCTCTGCAAAACAGTTACAGCCCTGGATTTTTTTGGACTATGAAGTCTAATTTTCTGGAAGGGAGATTCAAGAAAATCCCCAGAGATTAGCCCTTTGTAGAAGACACCAAACACTACATGTTATACTGTAAATTGTATGAAACAGACAAAAATAATTAGAGAAATCTTTAATGGTGGTTGTTCCTTGCAGTAATATGGAAAAGGGTAAATATCTGTTGTCCAGTTCAGACAGGTATGTAACATTTAACACAGCTGTATTTGTAGTGAGACAATATCAAGTTGCCTCCTTTGAGATATAAGATTCTGTTTTCCCTGTATATTTTATTCCTTATATGGGCCAAGTTTTTATTTTGATGTAATAACTCTTTTAATTTTTGGTCACACGTTTCTGCTGGGCTACAACCAGCATGTGGTTTCTTCATTAATAATTTTGCATGTAAATCCATATGTTAGTGAAGATAACATACAAAAATAAAAAATGTATTAGGGGAAACTGCAAACGAAATAGTCCTTTTAGGGAAAACGCACACTAAAACGCCGGCAAACTTTTTTTTAAGAGGACTTAAAAATATTGCAAACTCATGCTGAAATGTGGTGAAAGAAGATTCGAAAAATGAGAAATTGATAGGCACTAAAATTGCAGGATCGCCTTATATCATATGAGCGCACTCAGCTGCTTTGATCTGCAGAACAGGCACTGATAAACGTGCCACATAATACTCTTCCTACAGTTGTAACAAATTGATATTTTAGTGTGGCAGCAGCTACACTTTGGAAGTTCCTGCCTACTGACATCTGTCAGGTGCCATTGCTGTATGCTTTTTGACAACTACCTATAATATTTTTGCTTAGGCGAACCTATCCGGACACATAAATGTTGTGCTTTAATCTCTCTCTCTTTTAGATATACTTTTAATATTAACTATTTAAAAACCTTATTAATTATATCTGACTGGCTTTTTAAATTGATAATTTTAATATTTCTTGTAAACCGCTTAGTTTTAAAACCAAGCAGCTGGTAATTTTTGTCAAATAAATAAATACGAATTGGCGTATTCATCTGTTCCAAATTCCAGCTCTGGTTTTTCATCAGCCTATAGGGACTTTTAATTACTCTGTCGGGGTCTCACCCAGTTACCTTGAAAGCCCAAGCTACTGTTTCGTTCCATTCCAAATCTTCATCATACTTTTTAGGAAAAGGTATGTATAGACTCCCTTGTTCTGTGGGATTTTATCTAATGCGGGATTGATTGTTTCGTCATTTATAAATGTTATTATCCTCCCCTCCAGGTCAGCTGAAATTCTTTTCTTAATTGAAAGAAAAAAGCTGAAAGCCTAACCAGACTTACTTGAGAGTAAGCCCCATTGAATCCATTGGGACTTACCTCTGGGTTAACTTGACTAGGATTGTGCTGTTAAAATACTAGCAAAAGGCAGCAACAAAATGAGGAAAAAAGGATGCAACTGGTCTTTGCCGAGTCAGGCTGTTGGTACTTTTAGCTCAGTGCAATGTCTACGTTTTCAGAAAAGGTTTCAGAAAGGGAGTCTCTCTCAGTGACACCTGAAGATGCCAAGAGATGACCCTTCTACATGCATCTATTAAGTCATATTATATTGTAGTGAAAATAGCAGAACAAAGATGCATTGTATCAGGAGAACCTGCCCGCTGGAATGTGTTCATTAGTCAAAACGGCAGACAGGAATGGGTTTATTGGGAGAAATCTGTACTACAATGCTGGCGAATTTTCACGAGAGTTTTCAAAGGAACAGAAAATTCGCAAATGGCTGCAGAAATACAGAAAGCTGGATTTTCAGACTGGGGAAAATGAGAAATGGAGAGAAGAGAAATTGAGAGGTCCACCCCTAGTCAGGGGTGATGGGGGTTTGTGTAACAACAGATGGAGGACACCAGGTTAGATATAAGGCTGCTAGGAACTACCAAGGCAGGATTCAATCCTGAGGTCGAGGTGGAAAGTTCTCCACAGTGACCCTCCAGGAGGTGAAAAGGGGATTCTAAACTTGCCTCTCCAATTGCATAGAGCAGACCCTTAAGGATAACAGGAGATCTCCAGCCAGACTTGCTGCCGAATGAGCATCGATCTCATTCCCACCCACCAGTTGTGTACACACCCTGCCTCCCTAGAATCCTAGGAAATGTAATTTACCCATCACAGACCTAGAATTCCCAGCACCCTTAACAAACTACAGCTCCAGGATTTGGGCAGGGGAGTGCTTTAAATGTATAGTGTCTTTTTTAAAAAAGTAATTCATTTCAGAGGTAGTCAGGAAAATGGACTCCCTCTCCCAAGCCAAAAATAGGCTTAGAGAAGAGAGAAAGGGCTCTAGAGAGAGTGGTCAGCTTCAAGATACTGGAGTGAAATTGCCTCTCGTATCTCCCACTGTGACCTTGTCAAGACATGCAAAGTATTCTGTGAAATGCAGGGCTTTTATTGTTCGTTTAACACGTTCACCGAAGGGCTTCTTACTCTGCTTTGGAACAGGAAGTTAATGCACCCGTTTTTCTCTGTGCGTATGTCTTGCAATTTGCAAAGGCAATTTGAAAGGGGCTGTTTGTGGTGTGGAAATTCACCCTGCTTTTGCCTCTGCTGAATGGGTTTTGCAGGCTTTTTTTTTATGGCTTCGGAAACCTGCAAAACCCACTTAGCCAGAGGCAGCGGTGCGACGAAAGAAAAATGTGCGCATTATATACCATGGGAAGTGATGTGCCGCTCAAACCGCTTCTGACTTTCTTAAAACAAGCAAGCGAAAACGGGTTTCTGCCTCCATCCTTGGGGCCAAACGGGGCATCCCAGATGCAGCCATGTTTGCTGCCCACTTGCCTGCCTATTCCGTTTTGAGCCCCTTCCCTTCCCTGCCCCTTCCCTGCCTAATACATTTGGGAAAGAGGGCAAGAACAGCTCTTCTGCATCAGACCAGTGGTCCAAACCCTCCGGCATTCTGTTCTCACAGCGGCCAACCAGAAGCACAAAGGAATCCTGCACACAGACCGCAAAGCACAGCAGCCCTTTCCCCTCCAGTGGTATTCTGGTATTCAGAAGCATCACTGCCTCCGACAGAGCACAGGCACGAGGGTTGGTCACCTTGGCTATAGCCTTATGCTCCTTTAAAGCCTGCCAAACCAGAGTCCTTTGCTGGTTTTAACCTTTAAAGCCCTATGCGGCCTAGGACCCTCGTACCCACGGGACCGCCTCTCCTGGTATGTCCCACGGAGGACCTTACGGCCTTCAAACAAAAACATCTTGGAGGTGCAGGGCCACAAGGAGGTTAGGCTGGCCTCAACCAGAGCCAGGGCTTTTTCGGCTGTGGCCCCGATCTGGTGGAACGCTCTGTCACAAAAGACTAGGGCCCTGCGGGACTTGACATCTTTCCGCAGGGCCTGCAAGACAGAGCTGTTCCATCTGGCCTTTGGCCAGGGCACAGCCTGACCCCCTCCTTTGGTAATCCTCACAGAACTCTAGCCCAATCGTTGCCATTAATTTGATTCTGAATTGATTTTAAAATGAATTGATTTTAGAATGCTGTGTTACTTTTATTGTTGTTAGCCGCTCTGAGCCCGGCTT